ATTAAATTGAAGCTTTTATACTTCTAACGACAAAACTTGTGCATACCTCTCGGCATACTTACTTTAAGTTAGATTATAAGAAAACAAACAATTTTTAGAGAAACTTGCAATGTGAAAATATTTAATACTCCCATGACATGTGCTTTATTAAAATTTTTAAAGTTATAATGATTTTTTGATGTAGATCAAATTCAGTCGAAGCTTTTTAACTATTTGTATTGACAAAACTTTATGTAGGTACACTTTAAGCTGGATAAGAAAAACTACCACATTTTTAAATACCATATTATACAGTCTTTTAAATAATCCAAAATACTTATTTATTTTGGTCAAAATAAATTTTTCTAACCTTAAAATTGCAAAATTAGATGATATTTTTGTTATAATATATTAACCTACCTTTAATCCAGATATTCTTATTCCATAATAGAGAAGCTAGATTTTTTTAAATAAATACTGTTTAGTTAAAATTATTTTATGGAGAAAACCAGATATTTGGACCAAATGCACAAAAATATTACTTATTTGGCACCAAACACTTTAGAATTTCATTAAATGCAGTATTTATATTCTTAAATTCTTAAACCATCCATTGTTATTCTAATGTTATAAAGATTTATACATTTTTAACGTCTTAACATAATATTATTTCTTTCGTTGACTATAATTTGACAGATACATAACCTGAAAAGCCTTAAATGCCAAATTTTCAAAAGACTGCGTTCCGTACGTGGTCACGTGGTGGGACTTTGAGGTGTGGAGCATAGTACATGTTTCCATAACACTAAGGGCAGCATGCAAAAATGTTGATTTATTTATATCAACTGATTTAGCATATCAGCGGATTTAGATTTATGCACGACATGGCAACGCAGTAATTTTCTTTAAAAACTGTTAGTTAAAAAAAAATGTGTAATTATCTTTAAAACGTTTATAATATCCCTAAACAGTTGACTTCTATAGAATGTGTTCTTTAGGGTGGCCCAAAAAAAAGAATATTTTTTTCTCTCTCGTCTCTTGTGAAAATATGTTACTTTGTAATGTTTTAAGAGTCCTGTCAAAAGATCAGCTCCATTAAAAAAATTTTAGGGGTCGCTCAAGATTTTTAAAAATTTCCAAAATCGTCAAAATTTGGATTTTTTTTTATTTTATTTTTTTTTCTCGTTACGATATTATTTTTTAATTTAAAAATAATAATGATTCTGAAAATTTCAAATCGATATTTTGATTTCTAAAGGTCGCTCAAGATTTTTTTAACTTTCAAAGTAGAGTATTTTGAATGTTTTTGAGCCACCTCTGAATATAAATATCAACGAACTTTTAGCGACCTTTAGAAATCAAAATATTGATTTGAAATTTACAGAATTTTTATTATTTTCAACCAAAAAAATAATATCGAGACGAGAAAAAAAATTAAAATAAAACAAAAATTCAATTTTTGACGATTTTGAAAATTTTAAAAAATCTTGAGCGACCCCTAAAATTTTTTTAATCGAGCTGATATTTTGACAGGGCTCTTACAGCATGATAAACTAACATATTTTTATAAGAGAGGAGTAAAAAAAAATATTCTTTTTTTTTTGGGGCACCCTAGTGTATACACATTGGATTGGATATACAACAATTAAAATTTCATCGTGATATATTTGACATTTAAATTTTTTCTATAGAAATATAATATATTATTTTAAAAATTAACAGATTTTTTTTTCGATATCAGTAAAAAAAGAATAGTAGATGTTTTAAATCACTCTATACATAGGGGTCAAAAAATAATACGCTTTCCTTATAGTTTAAAGACATAGTGTAAGAAATAAATCATTACAAATCATCATTATAAATTTTACAAACCCTCTAGTCAGAAGTCAAAATTTCCTTTTTTTTAATTAAAATTCATTTTAAATTAATTTTTACGATTAATTAGACTTTTAAATCTTTATGCAAAATAAAAATAAAAACGTCGCATTGATCATCGATAATTTTGACATGGGAATTAAGATGGTGCGTGTTTAGCGGTCATTTTAACGGAAAAAAACATCTGAAAATCGGTAGGTATCGAGTCCGGAGAGGAGATCTTCCTAAGAAGAGTGTCTTTCCATATTAAATACGGGATACTAGATGTCTAATTATCCGCCACCCGTGGCGGGACATCCTTAAAGTTTATGAACGGCAGTGGAACGGGCGAAACGGCCCGTAATCTACTCATTTTATTGGCCAATTTGATTTCAGATAACGTTTACGGTCGAACCGATTTTATGCCTAAACCAATAATATCATTATTTATAGTATCGTTCATCCAAATTGGCGTTTCTTTGAGTATTCCTGCGGATAATTTAATTGCAGCCTAAGTATCTTCGCCTTAAAAGTTTATCGAATGCATATCATTGTTAAACTTGCTGTCCCAGAAATACCACTTCTGTTGATTATGATGCAAACAGCGTTGTGAAGTTTTTAAACGAAAATACTTAATGTATACACAGTGAAAAAATATTTATCTCCACGCGGTCTATAATTTAAACTTTATTGTTGTCAACATTCGATAAAGAAATACCTTGTTATGGCCTAGGCCCATAAAAATGTTTATGAAGCAAATAAGTAGTTCGATTTTTTCTCGCTAGGGGTATTGTTTTGACAAATTAATCCTTTTCTAAGAAATGAACGTATTAACCTGGTTTAATTTTTTTATAATAAGCACTTATTTGTTTAACTTTTAATGTTTAATATTTTTCATTAAATTATTGTAAAATTAAATATGAATAATAAAACAAAAAGTGACATTAGGCAACCAAAAAAAAGCGCGATTCTTTTTCTACGATTTAAATGATCTTTAAGTTTTAATTTGCTTTAAGTTTTCAGTGAAATTAACTGTTAAACACAGCTTAAACATTCCAAACTACCTATTTTTTAAATAAAAATCCAAACAAATTTAAATTAGATACCTACCTATTTATTAAACAATTAATTGAATTCAATGTAATAGCAAAAATCCATTTCTACTTAAATTATGTTGCTAGGTATTGTCAAACTATTACTGCTTCTAAAAGCAATAATAATTATTGTACATTTAATGTAATCTATAGCTAATAAATAAATGAGATTCTAAAAAAGTGAGGTTAGGCAGCTTTGATGTTGAATTAAATTAACCTATATAAAGTGCTTTGAAGATAAAATGTTGTATGCCATTCGGCCAAGAAGTGCCTTTTTGTGCTTCGCTTGAGCTTAGCACAAAAAGCCTTACTTCTTAACCTAATGACATAAATAACTATTATTAATTTTAACCAAATATTATCCAGAAGTTTACAACCAACTGTAATCTCTTTACTAATTGAATAACTACATAAATGAACACAAAAATAACATACACTCAATTAAATAACACACCATTCTGAAATCAAAAATTATAACAAAAATTGGTACAATATCAGTATCAATAATCAGTACTGTTACAGTACTACTATTGGACACTTAAGGAATAATATTTATTTAAAATTTATATATGCCGTTGTTTTTATTTTGTTTTCTTATAAATAGGTATATAAAAAGGATAGTTTGTTTAAACTTTATTTAAACTTAAAAATAAGAATATTTGAATTTTTAATATTAGTTTTATAAAAACATGCAAAAAAGTATAAATTGGACATTTTATATAGTTATTGAACATACAATTTTTATATAAAGATAAATTGCTGTTTTAGGTAATTTTTTTTATTTCGTTTTTGTAAATATCATATAATTAATATATTTCTTTCTTGGATTCCTCATCCCTTTTCTGGATTCTGAAGGTAACTACTAATTCCTTGGTCTGACTTCTGAAATAATTTGTTGCAAATATCTCTAGTTTGTGAAGCATTTATAATATTATCATATGTTAAGGCGGGAACAGGATGATTTATATATATTTAATATTTTTTCGGGTGGTATGTTAAAAGTATCCGAATTTATTAATTTTGTTGCTATGAGTTTTTTTATGTTCTCTATCATGCACTGTATTTAAATCACTATTATTCTGCAAGATGTCATGAGACGAAAAAATCACTATATTACTTACCTTCTAAAAATTAATTAGTCAAAAATGTCATAGCGAAAAAGCAGCCAATAATAATTCTCGTCAACAGCAATTTGTATCCAGGACATTTAGCAGTCAATTCCTATGAAATATTATTCGCTGAATCCGAAAAACGTCAAAAATTATAAAATTAGAACAGTTTTTGAAATTTTACATAGAATATGGAATTAAGTATATCTCAAAAACTGCTTAACTTTTATAGTTTTTGACGGTCTTTTCGGATTCAGGGGACAATTTTACATAAGAGTTGGCTGGTAAATGTCCGGAATACAAATAGAGTATGATATTGGACATATGTCCAATAATAGAAATTTACATTTTTTACCAACCAGTAATTGGACACTGGCCATTTTACTGTTTATTTTCAGAATTAAAATTAAAACGCATTAAAGTGACAACATTTAAACCATGAGGAACACATTTATACCACACACTGATCTGTACACTTTTTAGAAATATTTTTTATTGTAATTTAAACACAGCCCTGCTCTTCACAAAAAAACAAAAATCTTACCACCAAAGTAACGTGCGAACTTTTGTGTCCTATATTGGATCCAAAATAAAGTAGTTTATTTTTTTTATTTCTTATATTTTTTAAAGCTCATTTAAAATATGATGATTTTATGTACTACTTCATCAGAAAAAAATGTCCCTGGTTTTTTCCTTAATACTTTAATAATATCAATTGAAGAAGTTAAATTTACCTAACATAACGTTAATTTTACCAAAATTGAATTTCCAACTTTTTACAAAATAACTTTAATTTAAGGTTAATTTAAAGTTGTAGTACAATATTACCTAAATGAATTAACCGGGCATAACGTAAATTTAACTTTAATTTAACCAGTTGTGCTATTGGGGGATTACTCGTATATTTAAATATTATATTTATTATTTATATATATATTGCTTATATTTTTAACATTTGTTTTAGATGGCTTCAGCGTGGCTCCATGTTCGTATTATCGCAACCGCAATTTTTAAAACTAATTCAAGAAGAAAACGGTTGGGTGGCCGAATCCCTGCTGGATCTGGGCGCAGGCGATGGAAAAGTGACCGCCCATCTGGCCCCCATGTTCCAAAAAGTCTACGCCACCGAAGTTTGCAACACCATGAGGTGTCTCCTGCAGCAAAAGGGGGTACCAGTAAGTATCAGATACCTTGGAAAGAATGTGCTTTAAATAAAACAACTGAGGAGTGATTTTTCAAAAGGTCGTATTTCCATTTGTAACACGTTTTCTAAAAACGAATATAACATGTATAGGTTAGGGCGATACAGATTATTTAAAAAAAAAATCTGATGAATATATGGGTGATTCTACAAAAGTTGGACAACTTGATGTCATCAGTCAATAAAGTAGCTATTTTAATATTTTTTGTAAATATTACAAAAGATCCAGGTTTTTTAACTTGTCCACTCAATTTTAATGTATTTTTTCAAAAGCACGTTTGTAGAAAAACATAATAAATATTCAAAACATCAGTACCTTCAAGGTACTACCTTGGCGTGTCACAACTCCTGAATCAAATATAAAACATTAAATAATCTATTTTTCATATTTTATCATAGATTCGAATAATAGTAATTTTTTTAAAATTGATAATCTTTGTATTCACTTTTACCCGTCAGTTCTGTGTTCAATGTTAAAATTCAAAATTCCCGAAATAATGAAGTTTAAACGTCAAGTCCTCGTTTTAACTCAAGTGTTGGTAAAAAAAATTACCTACAGAGCCCGCCCTTTGCACGACAGTCATCTTGAAAACAATGCAAGCGGCGAAGTTGTGGTGAATGCACGTATAGTTCCAGTCAAAATTTCAGTAGGTACTGTTGTGAGTAGTTATTTTCTTACGTATATATATTTCATTGTAATTTAGATAAGGCTATATGTGATTTGTTGATAAGCAGCATCCACTAATAAAAAATATCAGTAAAATACTTAATTCCGAAATATAATCTCAAATTTGTATCCCATTCATCAGTACCGTGTCTTCAGTTCCATGTTTGATGTTTCGGTTATCTTTTTTTCGCAAACTTTAATTTAAATTCCGCTAATAATGTTATTATAAACTCATAGGTATAAATGGTTATTGAAAAAGTATTTTATAATGGAATGGAAAATGGAAAAAATAATACAAATTAATATATACTAAGCGGTACCAATTCTTAAGAACTGTTTTGCTAGTTATATAACATAGTGTAAAATAAATTATTAAAAAAATAAAAAAAAATAAATAAATATTAATTTGGTGTGGGTCCCATATCTAATAATTGAGATATCGGTATACCCAAAATCCACCAGCCGCCACTGATGTGTGGTATTATTTGATTTTAAGATATTTAATATATAATATGCTCAAAGTTGCAATAAATCTAATATTTTTCAATAAATTATGTATTTAATTAGTACCCTGGTATACTCGTCACTTCCCTTGCATTCAAATTTAGAAAACACAGGTATTTCAGAAACCGTTTATATTATATGTATTATAACCGTTTATATTTATTATATTATCTATGTTCTCATAACAAAATACTGTTTAATTTTCTCCGAAAACTATATAAACAAAATGAGGTCAAAAGTTGCCCAACTTTTGTAGAATCACCCATCACTACTTCAGACCTGCTGTCGTATTGGTTTAAATTTAAATATTTATAGCAATGGTATTTTTAAAAATTATTTGGAAATAAGACCTTTTGTATGAAATCATTTTGGAAATGTGCCTTTTTGCTGTGTACAAACTTTTTTATTGAATACCGTTTTAAAAAAATATATGGAAAAATATCTTTATTGTGCTAACAATATTGAAAAATATGTAAGGCTTATATTTTAAGGATATCCATCTCTGGCTAAATAATAAACACATTACTTCTTCATAATATTCTCGACATTCAACATCTTTTGCAACATATTCACCATTTAATATATGCCTTTTAACCATACCTTTGTGATTTTGTCGAAAAATGACATTCAAGTAAAAATGGAAATAGGTACAACCTTTTGAAAAATCACTCCTTAACTTTCACAAGTTTTGTGGAAAAAATAAATGAAAATTTTATATTTATTTAACAAAATGCATTTGATGACATTTTTGTTGTAAAAAGTTCAATTTGTTAAGTAAGCCATTAAAAAAGATCCTACAGTGAATTTTATGACCAGCCAGGGATTATATACGATCTGACACTCAACGACTTTAATTACTTAGGAGATGTAGATGTTAGACGAGAATCGCTTTGATAAATCTCAAGGTTTTTTAATAGTATATTATGTATGAAGTTTGATAAACGCCATTTTAGTCACGAATTTAATTTAGACACGAGTGAGCTTTCGAGCGAGTGCTTAATTAAATGAGCGAAAAGTTTATAAACAAGTTGCAAACTATACTTTTTTTTAAATTAAATATTTGTATAGAGCGACATCTATAGAAAAATAAAGTAACCATGCGTAATTTTCACCATTAATATTGCCAGTTATTATTTTAATTAAACTTAACAATTATTGATACTTCAAAATATGTTTATGTTAAGAATCCTTTGATTTTTTTTACTATAATTGTAAAATATTATGAAAAAGTATTAAAAATTCTTACACGGGAAATGTTAAAGGTACAAAAAGTGACAGTTGTATTTATTGGAATTCCCGTTAGAATTTCTAACTTGGTAATCTACCGACGTTAAAATCTCTAATTTTTATGAGTAAATCAAAATTAATCCCTTAAAAATTGACCAACAAGTAGAAGCAGTTTTTCACAGTAAAAAATAAGAACAATATTAAGTTGCGTCTGTTAAAAAAAACTAACATTTTCGATGACATTCAAATCGGGAGATTGCGGTGGCCATTTAATAACTTGGCTCAGGTTTTGACTTTAGACGCCTGATTGAGCCCATTCCCACACAGGCAATTACAATGTGGAATCAACAATGTTTTTCACGGCAATTAAGCATCGATACCTATACACATAAGTATCGTAGCGATAAATAATAAAGTAATTTACGACCGCGAGTACGAAAAATGATCCTTTTTTGCACGCGTGTGAGCGTTAGAGCTCTAGATGCGAATGAATGGCCCGAGCAAATACACAGGTAAACATGAAAATAGGTCTTTACACGTATACAAACTTGTACTGAAAGATATTTGTCCTAATTAGCCAAAGACAACATAAACATGTTGTAAAACATTGTATGGATTCTGAAGTATTAAATAACATACTGTGTGACCCATTTGTTTGCGACTCACCCCTGTAAAATCTTTATTTATTGTGCGATTTTAACCGGATTTGTTTTAAAGTGTATATTTTTAAAACAAAAAATTTTAAGTAGAAAAATGCACAATAATAACTACAAAAATTTATTCTGTCAAGTTATCCATGAAAAAAACATTGAAATAAAATTAAACCTAAGTATATAAATATTAGACTGGGCCAAAAAAATCAACTATTTTATTTTGAAAAGTATATCGAAAATATGGTTTGGGGCAACAAAAAAAAATTATTGTGAAAGTTTGAGTCCATAATTTTAAGAGGCTTTTTTGTAAAGCATTTGATTTCACATAAATATATTTATCGGTTTTTTTATGGGTACTGATTTTTACATGAATTTTAAAATTCCAAAGTTAAAAGATCAAAATGTAAAACTATACCAATGTTTAGGGCATGATTTTAAGGAAACGGTTCATCTGACGAAAAATTTCATTTAACCTTTTTTGTAGAGCATTTAATTTTCTTAAAAAAATATTTTTAAGTAAATTTTGTTAAACTCAATGGTTTGGGAGTTCTGAGACAAAAACTTGAAGAGGGAAAAAAATTTAAAATATTAATATTATGGACTCAAACTTTCACAATAATTTTTCGATATACTTTTCAAAAAAAAAAAATTGTTGATTTTTTTGGCCCAGTCTAATAAATATATACTAAATATACTATATACTAATGTTTTTTCATGGATAACTTGACAGTTTAATTTTATTTCAATGTTTTTTCATGGATAACTTGACAAAAAAAAATTCAATAAAATTTAGTAAAGGGTCGTTTTGAGGGGTATTGAATCCAGTGCCGTGCTTGGACTTTGTTTAAAAAAATCGCTAATATGAATTCTTAAAAATTTACTCTTAAAAACTGACATAGTAGGCCTTGTATTTTGTATTAATATGGCGTTTTTTTCCAAAAATACATTATCAAGATCTACACTTTATAACAAATCCGATTAAAAACGCACAATAACTAAAGATTTGACAGGGGTGAGTCGCTAACAAATGGGTCACACTCTATTTGGGTTAAAATTTTGAAATTTTACTCCCTGCACCCCCTTTATAAATATATCATGTTTAACAGTGTTATTTTGGCACGACTACATAAACAAACAACTTACTTAATTGAAGTAATTAACTGGTAATAATAATAATAAATCTTTTGGTCCATTATAAGCCTGGGAAGGTCCATAATTTCATCAAATCTAAATCTTGTTTTAAACAAAGTACCTTTAGGTATTATTATTAGTATTAATAGATATATAGATGTCACCTCTGTTTCTAATATTCCATACTATGTTCCATATTTCCACCTCTTTAAATGAATTTTTTTTTAAATAAATTGCAGCATTTTAGAATTGGAAAACTGGCACGAAGAAAGAAAATTTGACCTTATATCATGCCTTAATCTAATAGATAGATGTGATAAACCTCTAGAAATTCTACAAAACATAAAAACATCTCTTAAACCTGATGGTAGATTATTATTGGCTGTGGTTTTACCATTTTCACCTTATGTAGAATCAGGTAAATTGCAATATACAAAGTAAACCGCAGTACAAATAAAATTAATCATAAATTTTTTAGGTTCCCCTTATAACAAACCAGAAGAATTATTGCCAATCAAAGGTCAAACTTTCGAATCACAAGTTCAAAGCGTTATCGAAGATGTTTTTATACCATCAGGATTTTCTGTAATAAGTTGGAGCAGAATACCATATTTATGTGAAGGAGATCTACAACAATCCTATTATTGGCTTGAGGATGCTATTTTTGTACTTAAAGTTGCGTAAATTAAGCAAAATACATTTTATTTTATACATTTCAATGCTTTTTATCATATTTTTATTATCATGTTTTTAATAAACCGATTTTTACATAAAAAATGATGTTTTATTATGATTTAAATAAAAATCCCGCCACCTATGATACACTAGCTAAAGTTGCGTAAGTGTAATCTGGGTTGCCTATATACAAAACGCAATATCGAGCCCTCCAGGATTTATGTAACGATGTTGCATATCTACAGGCGGAAATGTCACCTGTGTTGCCTATAGACAAAAGTTAATATACTTATTTAAACCATATTTCTATGATTTAATCAAGGCTTTATTAGGATAATAATAAAAAAACATGAAATATTGGAAGTAAATTAAATTTATTACAATAACAAGATAATAAGAGCTATTTTCACATAAAATGAATGTAGATTGCTATTTTCACCACAATTTCTCAAAATTAGTGGGACGATTGGACTGGAGCATCCTTATCGACATGTCCAATTTGGTCTTCGGGTTCGTGGGGCCAGTATGTTGGCTTGTTGATTGGATCGACGGCATCTTCTGGGTATGCCTCACGGTAGTCCTCCATGGTCATTTGATCGTATGGAATCAAGCTTGCCAAGTGAGCCAATTGTTTTTTGTACTCTTCGATACGTTGACTGGAGTCAGATTTAAATTTGGCGATTTCATTTTTGGTTTCGCTTTCCAAAGCGTCCAATTGGCTGCTTACGTTCTCAGTTGGGTATGGGATTTTTAGAGCAGTGTATTGTTTTTGGAAATCATCGACCATACCGGCAATTGGGACGCGGGATTTGTAGAAAGCCCAGTCAATTGCTGGAGGCTGTTCAGGGTTGGCGAGAACGCTGAAAAATACGACGAAAAAAATTATAAAATTTGGACCTATGATTACATAAAACCTACCGTCTCAAATAACCCTCAGATTTCGACTTGAAGGCCAAAAACTGGGCTCTCTGGTGCTCAGGCACTCTCTCACCCAGTGAAGCCCAGTTTACGCTGCTTTGAGCGATCCTTTTTGCGGCCATTGTACCAAAAAACCCTTTACACTTATGGCGAGCACAAGAAAATGTACCTCTTTTTGGGTTATATAATTTGACAAGCACTGACGTTTCTCCGAAATGCCAACCGTTGAAAACGACGCGACGTCATCAACCACGGTATAACTACCAAACGAAAAAAAGTAAAGAATATACGATTTTTAATAAATATAATTAGTAAAATTTGAAAAAGTAACATTTTTATTGTATCTATTATATTTTTATAAGTTTTTAAGGGTTTTTACTTTATTTTGTTGGTTGTTTTGGTATATAGTGGTAGGCAGTGTTGCCATGTTTTCTATTTTTGCAGTAGATCTACCAACTAATTTAATATCAAAAAATTTTGTATCTTATAATAGTTAAAAAAATTGTAATAAAAATAATTATATTTTGTAATAAGTCAATGGTGTTTAAAAAATGATTATTTTAAATCAAAACTCATTTTACAGTAAATTTGTATTTATATGTTCATAAAAATTTGAATTTATTGCAACCATTGTTTTTAAAATAAATTTAGAAACTGATTTTATTATCAGTAAACACTATTATAATAATAGTATTATTTGTTAAAAAACAAAATTTATAAAACTGCGACAAATCTGGCAACGCTGCACGTGGTAGGAGAATTTAGGGTGATTTGAGTTTTGAATCTCCCGTACAGTTCAGACAATGTAAAATGGCCGTCGTGATCAAGTGTGTTTGATGTTTGTGATTAATAAACAAAGTTTACAGTGCTATTTTGTATTAACTTAACTCATTTGACAGATTTAATGATCTAAGTGCAGTGCATATTTTTGTGATTAATAGATAATAAGTCCTGTCTTTGCGGAAATCTATTAGAATAAGGTCAGTATTTTTGTGTTGATTTTATGTCATTGTTTGGAAATTAATTGATTTTCGAATGAATTTTTCATACGAAGAGTTACCGTGTGTTTATGGGCTCTATTATCAAAGCATTGCTGTACATTTTTCATTTATAAAAACTGTGTGATGTTTAACAGATGGTTTATTTTTTTTATTTGTTTAAGTTAAGCTTTAAATTGTTTTATTACCGTTTAATAAATCGTTAAATAACAAACTATACTGAAATAATATTGGGGTGCTTTGCATTCAACTGTCACCTAAATAAAATTTTCCACTAAGTATGCAAATTTTCGTTGTAAACCAAAAATGTTAACATGTTATAAAATGCGAGTTTCCCCATTTTTCTGTATAAATGACTCACGCAGTTTTCGTTTTTATGAATGTAATTAACCACCCCCGAGTATATTTAGCCCGTAATCACTTAATAAAAATTACAGAGAATGGGAAAACACTGGTCGACTAAAAAAAAGATTTTGTATGCCTTTTGACAATTTTTATTTGATTGAATTGAATAAATATTATAAAATTATACTTAGGTAAATACTTGGTAAATTGAAAAAAATGTACCTATACCTCTTGGTGTATTCTGTATAGCTATACCTAGGTATAAAAAAACAACAAAAGAGCTGATAAAGCAAAATGTCATTTTTTTTAAAGATGTATTTTTTGCTGATATACTACGGAAAATACACAGGCAAGGTTAAAAGATGTTCGTAACAAAGTTTATGTCAATGACCATTTATATCTCTAGAAAAATTCAATGCCGTGTGTTGAAATTATAAACATTTTTATTAATTAGGAATGCATTGAAGGTACGTCATGTCTTCAACAAATATTTATCTGCGTTTTTTAAAACTAATATAATAAAACGGTATCTTCAAAAACTGGTTGTATCTAATAACTACTAATGGAAAAAATATTTTAATTAAGTAATTAATACAAAGTATTTGAAGATTGTTTTTAACTCGGAAAAGCATTAAATATTTTTGTATTCAGTTTTAACAGGATTTAAATGGGGAATATTAAAAAGATTAATATGACGTCAAAATTGATAATCTGTTTATGACACATTCCACTAAAATTTAATTATGAAATATAGGTAGTTCTACTTATATGTAAAATTTGAAGTTGTTCTCCAATGTTAAAGGCAACTTTTGTGTGAATTTTATCCTTTGTTAGTATTTTTAAGTCGTCATTTTTTTCTTCAAAAATAAAATAACACTGCAACAACAAACAATATTTCTTTTAGGACAGTATTACAAAAAAAATTGTTATTTCGCGATTTTTCATATTTAATAAATATAATAAGTAATATTTAGGTATACTTACCTCTAGTTTTCGAGCCATTTTATAATATTTAATTTTAATTTATTAATAATTAATTACACTAGTTTACATCCATTTTGCCCACCATGTCTCACTATGATTTTCTTGTGTAGTTTGGCTTACTAAACGAATTTTCAATTGTTTTTTTTTATTTTCTGAGGTGTTTTGACTTTTTAGAGTATACTTCGAGTTCTAATTGATCTACAACTTTCTTTTGTATAGTTTTGATATCGGCTCAGTAGTTCGATACTGGCGACTTTATGAATTTGAAAAAGTCCTTTTTTTTACAAAAATCGAGGTCGAAAATTTACATATCTTTCTGGGAAAGATAGAAATCGAAAAGATAAGTCCAGTTGATAAAAAGCCATGGATAAATAATGGATAAAGTTATAAATTTTTCAGTGGAAGAGCAAAATTCAGTTTTTCGAGAATTTTTACGTTTTTTCTTCATTTCATTGAATCATATAAAATTTAATATTTATTTTTATTTTAAACATTGAAATTAAATTATATATTGAATATTGAACCATAAATATTGAACATTGAATATATTAAACGTTTTATTTTGTTTTAATAAGCATAGGTTTAAAAAAATTCTGGCTCCTTCTTTGTTTTTCCGTATTATGTTTCTCGTATGAGGGACCAAATGTAATCACCCATCATGGCTGCATCTCAGAAGCCGTGATACCACCGCTCCATAGCCTTCATTTGCTGGTGAAAACGTTCTCCGTGCTCATCACTTACGTCACCTAGATTGTCCGGGTCGAACTCTCTACTTCTTTTACTCATTTTACACTTATTATTAACTAAAAAAAAACCATGATATAAATACCTTGTTAAAATATTAAAAAATAGCAGTGAAATGTCACTATGTCAACACAAGAAACAAAAGAATTCACGTTTGCTAAATCATGTCAAATTTAAATTTTGAATAATGTTTTCGGTGAAAAAAGTATGTAAAAAACTAAAAAAATTCCAATCATGCACTTTACTTAGGTTTTTTTTAAGAATAAACATATTACATAATAAAATAAAATGGTCAAAAAGCTGAATTTTGGTCTTCCACTAAAAAATTCATAAGCTTCACGAAAAAAAATTCAAACTGTAGTTATCGGTTTTATTTAAACCTGAATTTTTGCCATAAAAACGAATTTAAACTATATATATATGGTGGGCAGAATTTTTTTTCCATTTTGTAAACTAGTGTTACCTATTAACTAATTTAGGTAGGTACCTAGTAACCTAGTTTGATACCTCGTTGAATTTTTTGTTTTTTTCTATCTTACCATGTAAAATTACAATATGGCGGCCATATGAAAAACAAAAATCTAGTAGGCGAAAAAATCAAATATTTGATAAATGTGCATGTTTACGTGTGATACTTATTTTTTTTCAAAATTCGCAGAAATAACGAGGTTATAAGTTATAACTTATAACGATTATTGTTTTGAGGGGATTTTAGTTTTTTCAATTAATTTGGAAACCGCTATTTTTTTCTTATTTTTAAATGCCATTTTAATAGACTTTTATTTAGGCAACTTTTTTCGAATTAATAAACCGACCTTGTAACTTTTCTTAGAAAAGATACTCATAAAAATTAATATTAAAATTAATTGTTTAAAAAATATCAGCACCTTATTGTGATTTTTTAGTGATTGGGACTGACAATTTAAGCGCTAATTGTGGAGTCAATAATTTATCCAACTAAAATTTAAAATTAAACAAAAAAATTGATTTTTCAACTAAAAATTAAAAAATCCAACTAATAAACAACGAACTAAAAATGAATATTTAATTTTTCCTACCTCTACCTTTAACCCGATTTCGAATACACAAGAGACATGAATTCATATTTCATATCAAATATTTGAACACGCGACTAGCTTTTGAATATTACGATCCTCTCTGTACGCTATGAATTTATATTTGCAGGGTTTGGGAATTAACGTCAAACGTATGTGTGTATATACGAGGTGTGTTCAGAAAATAACGGGAATTGTTAAATTTCGCGGGTTCGGAGGGTCCGGTTGTCATAAAACTTTCTTTATTAGGTTGGTATACATGCCCCCAAAGTATGATAAAACTTTAGCTGTTTTCATTGTTTACTTTGTCTGTGGCAGCCGCTAAGGTTAGACGTGTTTTATGAGCTCGGCGATTTTTCGTTCGTTAAAAGAAATGAATCAAAGAATTTGTATCCAATTTTGCTTAAAAAATGAAATAAATTCTGTGAAATGTTAACAAAGGCCTAAAGTGAGTCTTCTATAAGTAAAACAAGAGTTTACAAGCGGTATAAGAGTTTCCAAGATGGCCGTGAAGACGTTGAAGATGACGAACGCCCCGAACGCACAAGCGCATTAACAACCGATAAAAACGTGGAAAAAGTGGAAGAAATGGTTATAAACCATCAGAGAAGTCGCTGATGATGCTGGTATATCGATTGGCTCATCCAATGAAATTTTTTCGAATGTTTTGGGTACGAAACGCGTGGCAGCAAAATTTGTTCTAAAATTGTTAAATTTTGAACAAAATTTTTGGCCAAAAACAATACTGTAATGATGCCCCAGCCTCCATATTCGCCAGACATGCCTCTGTCTGACTTTTTCCTATTCCCAAAAATAAAGAGAACCTTAACGGGCCGTCGTTTTGCAAGCAAAGATGACATTAAAAGCGCATCGCTGAAAGAACTAAAGGCTATCCCAAAGATCGAGTTTTAGAAGTGTTTCGAGTATTGGAAGAAGAGCTGGCACATGTGCATAATATCCAATGGGGACTATTTTGAAGGCGACAACATTAATGTAGACGAATAAATAAATATTTGTTTCAAAAAACTAAAATTCCCGATATTTTCTGAACACACCTCGTATATATATAATAAAGATCCATTGTAAAGTTTTATTAAATAA